CTCCAGGGCCGACTCATAGGGCCCCTCGCTGTCAGAGTCTGGTGGCAGCTCCAATGGCTCCTGCTGGGCCACAACAGAGATGCTAACTTTCTACAGTTCCATCTCAGCTGATTGACCCTCAGCTAATCTTATTGGAGATTTCTAGAGCTACATTATGAGTGGGGTGGCAGGCTGACATCCATCACTGTTTGCTTCATGCCTGGATTCCCACCACCGCTGTTCCAGTCATCCTGCCATATCAAATGGAGCCAGAGACGCGGGCACGAAACAGTTTTATATAAATAAACAGTAAACAGTAATAAGCTGAGCTGTGATTGGTTGCTGAGAGTGAAAAGGGGAGTTTCCTTGTTTCCCACCGTTTTCCCACCTCTGCGTGCGGTGTGTGCTTGCTTGTCATTTGACGTTGCTCCTGCTGTGTTGATTTACCTGGCAATGCTCCTCTTTGCTTATCTTATTTAATGTAAACATATTTATTTATATAAAACTGTTTCATGCCCGCGTCTCTGGCTCCGTTTGATACGGCGAGATGACTGGAACAGCGATGGTGGGAATCCAGGCATGAAGCAAACAGGGATGGATGTCAGCCTGCCACCCCACTCATAATGTAGCTCTACATAATGTAGTTCCGGCAGGCCTGGGGCTGTTGACCTTAAAGGTCCAGCCCCGATGAGAACGAATGTGTGCTGTGAATTTTAAACTATCCCTTCTTATTTTCCTTTCTTTTGTCTTTCCTCCTTTGTAAGCCGCCCGGAGTTCTTCAGGATTGGGTGGCATATAAATTTAATAAATAATAACAACAACAACAACAACAACAGTGCAGTTTAACTAAACTTCCTAATGGATTCTATCTGAACCGCTGAATATATTCTATCACGGAATAATTACATTACTGCGAATAACCCTCAGTGGCCCCCACTGTACCTGTGTGGGATCTCATATGCCGCGTCAAATCTTGTAGAGACCAAAATCTCTTGTTGCACACAGTGCAGACTTTCTTCCTCTTGTCTGCCTTCGATTCACTCTTGGCTCCTGCACCAGACTTTGGCTTCCGGTCTTCATCGCTCTTTTCGGAAGATTTCCTTTCCGTGCTCTCTCCCTCGGAGATGCTTTCGCTCTCCTCGTTCTCCCTCCCTGTTGCCTCACCATCTGTGGGGGACTCCGCGCCCTTAATGTCCTTCCCAGGCTCTTCCTGTTCAAGAGCCGGGTCCTCTTGCGCGACAGGGACGTGGGCTTGGTCTCCACTTTGAAAATGTTTACTTTCATCCTCGCTGCTCTTCTCATCTTTCCTCTCGTCGTGCGCATGGGCTTTTTTGTGCCGGCTAAGAGTACCAGCGAATTTGAAGGATTTCCCACATGTGTCACAGGTGTGTTTGTTTTCAGACTGAGCCCCGTTGCCTGGGTTTTGATCGTTCTCAGCCAGCTTGAATTCCATGAACTTGCTAGCAAAATTGAGGTCCAGACTTCTGTTGCTGACTGAATCTTCTTCCGGCTCGTCTTCCCCCTCACTTAATTTCCCTTGTGCAGCCTCCTCCTCGCCTTGGGATAATAAATCCATCTTCTCCTCTTCCTTGGGACGGAGCAACTCGGGTTCTTCTAAAGACTCGGTTGTTTCCTCCAGGTGCTCTCTCTCCCCGGAGGTCAAGTCGAGTGCTTCATTTCCCGCGCTTGTATTTTCTTGATCAGACTGACTATCTGCAAGAGAGAACAGAGAAATATTGACTTTTTCAACCCTCAAGGAACCCCCTGTCAACATCAACTTTCTGTAATGCCATCGTCAACTATGTTTATCGTTTCACCCACATAACACCTATCCTCCGCGAGCTGCACTGGCTACCTGTCGATCTCCGGGTACGCTTCAAGGTGCTACTTGTCACCTACAAA